CTGCATATCACAGATTGCTGATAGATCTTCCACCAATCTTGACCCCACATTTCTCCTCATAGAGCCCAGCCTCCCGGATAATCTGTTCTGCATACAGGCTGAAAAGGTATGGAGACAGGACACATCCCTGGCGCATGCCCTTCCCAATTTTGAACCATGCAGTGTTTCCTTGTAGTCAAGCACAATTAATAAAGACCCTATTAATGATAGGTCTGAACTCTGTCCTATCCTGCACCATCCTTGTTATCCTCAACACATTTGAGTCTATTGTCACAGACAGTGTATCATATCAATCCGTCTCGTTGAAGGTCTTCCTCTATTTCACTGACCCTCCACCTTGATGTCCCTTTCCAAGGAATATCCTCTCCTGAAAACATGTCAGACATATGTGAGATGATGCTTCACCATCTTTGCCTCCAAGGAACATTTTGGTTGCATCTCTTCAGGATATGTCTGTTTTAATTTTGACAGAACAGCGCTCAGGCCTTTAGTTCATAGGATCACTATGAGTCGTCTATGACTCGAACAGCACCTAACAGCAATAACAATGTCGACATAGAGCTATGTTGGCCTAGTGGACAGAAAGTTATACTACCAAGCCCAAGGTGGGTGATTTTAATCTGTGGCTCTCAGGCCAGGTTCAAACTGTTTTTCTGTCAAACATTCTTCTAGGTGGTGGTATAGCACTGGTCTGTGCATTGCTGTACAGATGTAACTTGTGGTTGCTGTGATGCTGAACACTGTGACACTGATGTGCCAAATGTGATTAGGTTACCCATGATGGACAGTGTTTGCTGGAGCTTCCATGATAATGGTTACCCATGGTGGACAGTGTTTGCTGGAGCTTCCCAATTAAAACAAGCCTAAAAGCAAGAGTGATATCCACTTCCGAAATGGCTTGCCTCAGGAAACTCTATGAACAGCACTCAGGCCTTTCATTCACAGGGTCTCTGTGAGTCATCTATGACTCGATAGCACCTAACAACACAACAACAACATGGGATATTCCACATTCTTTTCCAACATCACAACTAAAATGCATCTCTTCTTCTCCTGTTATACTTATTCATTGTCTATCTCTCAGATATTTAACAGTGAGTGGAAATATTGTGGATTTAGTCAGTCATACGTTAGTCTTTAAACTGGTATCATTGCTCCTCAGGACTTTGGAGAAATCCTTGACAGCAGATCTTCCCAATGATATAGATATAGATATAGATATAGATATAGATATAGA